AGGAATGCAAGATAACACGAAATTCCGTATTGGGTATGATTTATTTTGAGGTTTTGGAAACAGGAAGTTTACAGATGGTTTCTAGGCACTTGAGATTACTGTTGACTTTAGATGGCGGATGAAGCAAGTTGTGCTGCTGTTGTGAAATCTTGTGATAAGTACAGGCTGCATTTGCATTTCGAAGTCATAGAAATGCATAAACATACCTCTGTCTGGAGTGCAAGCTCCCAGCGAAAGCAGGTCCTGCAGACAAGCTGCAGAGCCCAGGGAGCGAATAGCTAGTTCATACATTTGGGCTATTTTGCAGGATTTGAAATGGAGCACAGAGAAGTATAGGAAGAACTTTTCTTAGAGGGTTTTAGCATTTCCCCTCTTGCAAAGTGCACAGACAATAGAGAAGAACGGAGTCAAATGCTGACTTTTGCAAACCTCCCAGAGCTTTGAGTTCATTTTGCAGCTTTGATTAAAGTTTCGTGGTTCTTTTATCTGGAACAGATCCTGTCTTCCCAAAACAGAATGGAAGGAATTACCCGCGGGATGATTTAACTTTTTGGTTTGCTTCCTCTCTGTCACAAGATTTCCCAAATACATTACACAAAAACTCTTTGTACTGAGGGCTCTGGGCGGAGCATTATACTCTGCAGTTGCTGTGCAACTTTATGATATGTCATTAGGAGACTTGGAAGGCTGTACGTGTACTCTGGGAAAAGGCTGTATTCTGATTTAAAATCCTCTGTTGGCTTGATGTTGTGCTTCCTTCTGTCATGAAAGAAAGCCAGGTCCTGCATCTCACCCAGGCTCTGTCGGCTCCCCTTGGAGTCGGCAACAGTTGTGTTTTTCTGTGAGCAGAATTAGTGGTGGCTCCTGAAATCAGTATTTCCTGGGAAAGAAACTGCAGCTGACAAATGTTGTTATTGCACGATAATTTACACTCCGCAAACCACTCATCAAGAGAACCATAAAACCCAAAACTTCCTGTGCAGATATTTTTGCTCGAGGGCTAAAATATTGATTGTTTGAGAAAACAGTGCTTCTATTCAGTAAGCGTGTCTAGCTTTGACTGTTATGTCCATGTCCTAACTGTTAGAAAGCATGTGGCTGGAAAGGAGCACCCCTGCTCCGACAGATGAGAGAAAATCCTGCAGGTTTCCCAGGTGCTGTTGTGCTCTGCTTAACGCAAAGTTGGCTCAGAGCTAACCTGACCTGGCGTCTCCAGGAGCTGCCCTGTTCCTCCTGCTAACTGGGAGGTTGGCCCTGCTTCCAGGATTTGCAAAAACAGCCCTACCTCTCCCCAGCGCTGGCGTTATTAAAAGAAATCTGTTTCGGGGTGGGTTGTGTGGTTATACTGCACTGGTATGCTTTTTCTTTTGCAGAAGTCCAGGCTGTTCTCCTCTCTGACATGCTTGTATTCCTTCAGGAGAAGGACCAGAAGTATGTCTTTGCCTCACTGGTAAGGCTTCAACCTTTTCTCTTCCTTCCTTTTCTATGTGAGAGACTCTTGATGTGTGCAGCGAAGCCAGCTATTGCCTGCTAAACAACTTCATTTTCTTGCTTATAACATTTTCGTTTGCTGAGCAGACTCCATTCTTTTTGATAGGAAAACATGTCTTCATGCCCCACCTCCCCTTTCTGCAGTGCCTTGGCACAGCTGATAATTGGCCTTGAAAACCTGCCTGTCGCTTGATACACTTACTCCTTTTCAGTTTGTGCAAATTGAAGCAGTGATTAGGATGGGAGGCAGCAATGGGATAATGCAAACATTGTAAAAATGAATCTTAGCAGAAGGAAATGTCGTAATACTATGGGGGGCCTGGGGGGTGAGATGCCACTGCAGTAAATTCAACAGAACAGCTTGAAAATAAATGTCAGAAGAATGTATTTGTAATGCACAACACCAAAAACATTAGCTTTTGAAGGCAGGCCTCATAAAAGGGCTAACCTTTTCTTTAGCAGGTCTAGCACACTGACCTGCTAAAGAAAACCTAGTACCTAATGGAGTCTGTTGTGGCTGTACCTTGTGAGCATGGTCTAGACTGGCTAAACCTTGTGACCTTTTCACTCTCTGAACATTTTGAAAGCTGATCATTTGTTATTCCAGTTCCACCAATGATCTGCACAGACTCAGTGCCCTACACAGGGGGAGCTGATTTGCCCACAAGTCCTGCTAGTGAACCGCTACCAAATCACCCCAGTTGTAGCATCCTGTAAAATGCACAAAGGGGCTGACTCATTGCAGATGACACAACAGCAAAGGGATGTTCTAACCGAGCAGGCTGATTACACAGAGACCATAGCACACAATGAACATCATCTTATACACGAGTCTTCTCCATCATAGGGGTCAGCTATGAGCTTCTGAGAACAGCAGGGGTTTTGTGGGATTTGAAAACAAGATGTTACTCCATCCTAGGGGGAGACTGTGAAGATAATGTGTGTGAAGCAGGCGCTAGCAAGCTGCACTAAGTTTAAGGAACTGTGATATTAATGACAGAGAGAGTGTGGACAGGAGGAGATGAGATCAAAGGCCTGCTGGAGTTACAGCAAAATATGGTAGAGTTTGCAAAACCACAAAGTCAATTTTAAATTAATTCTTTGTTGAAATGGAACAAGGTGAAATTGCTTTTCCTACAGAACTGATGGAGGGAAGCAAGCCCTTTCCTGTTCTTTGACTCCATTAAAATGATTTATTTTTTTTAATTAGCCAATAGGTTCAGAAAATGTTTACAACCTGAGCGAGGTAGCGGTATGGTTATTGGGACCATTCCAGTGCTAGTTTGCATCTGGGAACTAGTACTGTTCACCCTCCTCACCAGTTTCTTTCCATCTGAAGGACCAGAAATCCACTGTGATCTCTCTGAAGAAGTTGATCGTACGAGAAGTGGCTCATGAAGAGAAGGGTTTGTTCCTGATCAGTATGGGTGTAAAAGATCCCGAAATGGTGGAAGTCCATGCTAGCTCCAAAGAAGAGCGTAACGGCTGGATACAGATTATTCAAGACACAATGAACACCATGTAAGCTACAAAGCTGTTCTTGCAAGGCAGGTGATGCACATGATCATGTTCTGGTAGTAATTGAGACATGTCTCTTGTCCAGGGATAAAGATGAAGACGAAGGAGTCCCTTGTGAGTCTGAGTTTGAAAAGAAAGTGTCGGATGCGAAAGTGAGAGGACTGAAAGGTAAAATCCTTCCCGGGACAGAGCTGGGGAGCGGTTTTTGAAAAATTTACAGGAGTTGTTGTGTTGGGTTTTGTGGTCGAACTATGACTTTTTTCAAAGGAGTGAGAATCCTGCATCCAGCAAATAATTGCAATCCTTGTTTGCACCTCACCTTGCTCGCATTATTTTTTTTCTGAGCCTGCCGGGTGCTGTTGCTGTGCAGGATTGCGCAGGGCACGGTTGTATCATCAAGGTTCCACTAGATGGGGCTGATATCTCAGGAATCGCTCAGTTTCCTTGCCGAAGCTTTTATTTTCTGTCTTCATCTCTGTTTTCTGTTCACCCCCACAGAACAACTTCAGCAGAAGGATAAGCAGATCCTCCTCTTGCTGGAGGAGAAGGCCAAGATCTTCAGGGACATGGCAGACATTTCTGTGCAGGAGGACATGCCGGGCTCCAGGCTGCTCTTCAGAGCCAACACAGAAGAGGCACCAAAAGGAGAGGCCATTATGAAAACTGCAATAAATGAAGGTGAGCAAGTCAGGGTGACACATTAATTACACTAACCAACGGACCCACCTTCAGTGAAGCCATCAGTCCTCAAGCACCAGTTTTGCAAGGGAAGTCTTCTCTTTGTCAGGATAACAGCATAGATAAGGAGATAGTGCTACTCACGGTATTGTCTCAGGGACAGGTAATGAGGATCAGGAAAGGAAGCAGATATTGATGGTTGTTGAAAGAGGGCAGAAAAGAAGTCAGCACAGAGAACAACTGTGCGTTGAATCTGCACTGGGGTCAGGAGCAGCACAGGATTTATCCTTGACGGAAATTCGGACCATCCAGGCTTTTGCTATGCTTCAGTCTCAGCAAGGTGTGAGAGCGAGGCTTGAGTTCCAGCAGGCGCTTGTGGTGCCTGCAGGGGACAAGCAAGTCTGTTGATAAAGGCAAGGGCAGATGGAAACTCAGGCAACTCACCGGTGTGATTTTTTGGAGAGGCTAAAAATTACTAAATGCTGTTGTCAGAGCACACCAGGGTTGCCTGGAGGAAGAGAGGGAGGTGTAAGCCTGTGCAGAGCTCCAGGAGTTGGAGTTTAATGGTCAGACAGTCTGAGTTTTTGCAGGGGGAATGCGTACTGTTCATATCATTGTCATAGAAACATGGTTTCTTAGTACAGCAAAGCATGTGAATTGCTGACCTGAGCTCAGGCAAGGATGAAAATAGCTCAGAAGCCTGAGGTGGTCTTTAACAGAGATATTGTTGCTTTTTATCAGTTGAACTGCTTCAAGACCTGGTGAACAGGAGCCTGGGCACTGCCCTCGGACAGCAGGTCAGCAGTACTGCCATGGAACAAGAAGGAGGAGTTGGCCCCATCTCTCTCCCTAGGAGGGCAGAAACTTTTGGAGGATTTGACAGTCATCAGATGAATGCCTCCAAGTGTGAGTAGCTACATGTGTGCACATCAGCATTTGTTAATAATACAGGTCATCGTATCCTGTTGCTTCAGAAGGACTCCAGCAGCTGGTGATTTGGGTTTCCCAACTCCTCTCCAATAATGGTTGGTAGATTAAATAACAGATTAGGAAAAAAAGCCTATGTACAGGTGGAATGATGGTAGCTGAGAACCCATGGCTGCATGAGGATTAAACATCTGAACTCCTCACTCCTCTCTGTTCTCTCTCTAAATCATCCTTCCTTCTTTACTTACATGCCACATGAAAAGCATTTGGCTTCTTAATAGATTAGATTCTTCATGTTATTATTGTAATATCTGCAGCTCTGCTCTTCGCTTATCTTCCAGCAGGAGCCTGGTGCTCTTGCATTGGCGAACGGATGAGGATATTGCTGAATCAAGCACCTTCTCCCCTGGCTCTGCTCTCTATGCATTTGTGTTCCACATACAACTGCATGCGTTATTCCTGCAATTAAGTCTCTCCCAAAGAAATGTGTGAATATTTATTTCAGCTGCATAGTTGGCTGCTTCCCAATGCTCTCTTTCTTTGCCCTAGTCATCAGAAACTTCCCTGTCCTCAAATTCCTTTCTCTGTGGTCTCACTCATACTCCCAGTACAGCCAGTTTTGCTGCGCTAGTGTCTGTCTCAGCATTCGGATCATTGGACCTCGTCTGACCTTCTTCATTAAAGGAGCAGTGTTAGCTCTAGACAGGCAGACATGAGAAGTATGTAGAGGTTTTCCCAGCTCTGTTGGAAAGCTGCAAAGCCTTCCACAGGCCTTGTCATTATAATGACAAATATATTCACACTGGAGGGGTTTGTTTAGGGTTGTGCCTCTCTCTGTTGCAGCGATGAATGGGACAACCTCAGGCTGTTCATTGCGCAGCTCTAGGTTTGCTGTAGAAATGTCCTTTTTTGAATTAGATTGAAATTCAATAGTTGCAGGGTCTTGGGAGAATTTGGGAAAAGGATGCAGGGCCTGTTTGTTCAGCTGGAGGCCGGGAGGCATGAAACCTGGCTTTCATCTCCAGTTCTTCTGTTCGCAACCTGTGCAACCTTGGGCAAGGCTCCCAATAATCTGACTCCACTTCGTTCTCCCCTCCAGCAAAGCAGAAGGGAGGTGTTTCCTCCTGCAAAGGGGTGGAAGGTCCCAGGACGTGGCGCAGGAGAGAAGGTCTGTTAGGAGGACTTGAGGGTCAGCCTTTAATAGCAAAGCCTGCCTGGGGGGTGGTGGGAGGTGAGGGCCTTTGCACTAGGTACAGTGTCCTTCACGTTGCTGCAGATACAGGTGTATGAAAGTTGTTTATCACTAGAAGAGTGGCAGTAGAGAGGTTACCACTGCAGGTGTGGGTTTTCCCCATGGGCTGCATCTCAGCTGGCAAGGGGAGTACAAGAGTCTTGGCGAGAGCTAGAGGACCGAAGAGCCGTGCAACTCCTTCGCCACCCAGGAGCAGGAGGGTGGCACAGGTGGAGGGTTGCAGCTCTCCTGGCCCCACAGGGGTCAGTTCAGTCCTGCTCAGGAGCACTAATAGGAGCCAGCCAGGGGGAAGTTAGAAAGAGAAGTCCAGTGTCGCTTTGAAGATACAGGTTTCTGATAACTAAGGTTAAGGATAAATTGTTTGCATAAAATTACACAGGGTATTGCGCAGCAGTATCTGACCCAGCTGTAAATTGCACTTGCACAAGAGAGGCATTGAAACTGTACCTGCAATAATATACCCTGATATGATACTGTTATTGTTGTCCATCTGCTCTTATTCTGCCTCACGTCTTCTCAGCAAGTATTCCTTGGTAGTAGACAGCAGTGCGGGGGCTAGACAGAGCACCAGTTAATAGGAGTGTGCCGAATTTATCAGCACGTTGTCTGAAACCAAAGTCAATCCTAATCTGAATTCAGATCCACTTTTTCTGGTGGTGCTGACGTGTTCTGTATACGTAGGGAGCAAATGCATTTAGTTAGCGTCAAGAGCTCTGTGTCCCCTTTTGTGAAACATCTGAGTTTCCTGTATTAAGTTTCTCAGACATCAGCAAGTTCATCTATGGCTTAAAATGTTGAATAACCAGTGTCAATGATGGCTTCTTCCTTTAGGTGGAGCGAAAGACGAAGGTGACGATGCTCAGGACCTTCGGAGAACAGAGTCGGACAGCATTTTAAAGAAGGTATCACTTGGTTTATCTGTCTGCTGCCACTGAGTTCAGATTTCAAAAGAGTGACAGTTCAAGTCTTGAAAATGCCTGAATTTCTTGACAATTAAATGTATCCTAGTAAGTTAAAAATAAAGTAAAATTGGAAGTATGCAGCCAAAACTGCTTTGCTGTATGTAGCTAAAATCCTGACTTGAAAACCATTGCAAATCAGTAGTATTCCTTTGTGGCACAGGTTATCTGCCATCTGTCTGCAGATCAGCTAAAGCATGTGTTTAATTATGCATTGTTATTGAAATGATAAGGTCAGCTATAACCTTGTACCTATTCTTGCTGTGGATCGATCCATCATATAACTACAAAATGATACCTAATTAACATTTTATTTTATATGATTTTAATTTGCCGACGAAACATGCATGAATTCTCCCAGAATGGAAGATGGAGGGGGGGGTTTAATGTGTCTGTCATTAGTTCAGCTTCAGAACACATTTGCTGTGATTTCTCATTTGTCCTCATATTAAATCTGTGATCTTCTCATAGGGTGGAAATGCTAATCTGATGTTCATGTTGAAAAGGAATAACGAGGTAAGAATTGATTCCGTTGCTCAGCTGTTTCCTTCATTTAAGTGGCAAGTGAATTTGTCTCAATAGGTGTTAATGTAGAAGAAAATACATTTCATTTGTTGAAGCGCATGTAGACTTTTAAATACATTAAGCCGAACCCACTATGTTATTTATTTGTTTAACCTTGGATGTTCAGACAGGGAATTCACTGATTGTCATCTGCTTGCCGGCAGGATGATATGTGCTGATTATAGGCAGCAAGGGTTAATTACCACTAGGATGCACAGGGCTGTATTTATTGTGCATCTGCAGACAGAGGGAGTTTAATTTTATGTTGCAGGTGCAGTGAATTGGGGCAATTAGATTTCTATTCTCCCTTTGATACACATTCGTAACTCCCAATTAGCATTAATGGCAGAATGAGAAGCAGTTCTCTTAACGCCGGCTATCACACCACTATTGCAAATACTGCGGTGTTTTTCCTTCTTCTTAAAAGTAATTGTAAGATATGAGAGATTCAGAGAAATTTTTAGCTAGGCTAAAAATATATTTAGGGATAGGGCATCACTCCAAAGTAGCTTTCTCTGTATTGACGCACGAGGTGTTTGCATTTACCTGTATTTTCAGAGAGCCTCCATGAACACACCTGCTGTACTCGTGTGCCTGCTGTATTGCAGTTTTTTTGTCTAATGACAGTGGGACTTGTATGGGTCAGCCAGGGGTGGAAGAGTACATCTAGTCCACATTCATTTTAAGATTTCTTCTTTTTTTCACCCCTTGAAGTTCTTCCCCTGAAATTTTTTAGTGAACTGCTGGGTTTCATCCCAATTGCTCTGCTTGTTCTTGAGCAAGCTGATGCTGTGGGAAATGGTTTGCAGAGACGGCACGAGAGTTCCCATGAGGTCTGTGCCATTTGGTGCTTCTGCAGACGTTTCCTCCCCTGCTGCACTGATGGCTAGGAAAGTGAGGAAGATGATGCCAGGCACCTCTGAGAGATGTCCAAGGGATGTATTTGTGTACAGGGGGATGATGCAGTCATTGCAAATGAAGAGTGAGAAAAATGAAGGTATAGAGGGATGGCCATACAGCTTGTCAGACCCACCGGTGGGTCACAGTGGAAAAGGAGGGTGCTTTACGCATACCCTGGCACCCAGTGAGGTCTAATACCAACGCTTTTGTTTTCTCGCAGCAGGTCCTCCAAACCATTACCAGCCTCCATAAGCTGCTCAGTGCTTTGCAGGTAGGCTTGGCCATTCATCCCACTTTTGCATGCTGCTTGCCTGAACTGTGCGTCCCGCCAGCCGGTAACAGCCACTCGCGCTTCACCCCCCATCTCCCCTTCCCCTTTGCGTGTCACATCCCTGCGCGGCTGAATACCCCGCGGCCAGCTTGCAGGCAGCGTGCTGGCAGGTCGTAGGAATGAGCTGCTGCCTAAGTGAACCAGTGCTTGCCTGAATTTGGGAAGCTGCTGAAGGAGATGCTCTGCCGGCATCCTCTGGTAGCCTAGCTGTAAGGCAGCAGTGCTGAGCTGTGAATTTGGTGGGAGAAGAAGGGGTTCAATATGGCACCCTGAGGTTTTCAGGGATGGAACCTGTCTCCGTGGAGAGGGCGCTGCAGTGATTTGTGTCCCCTCTCTCCTAGGGCGTCGTGCTGCAGCAGGACACCTACATCGAGGACCAGAAGCTGGCTCTGAGTGAGAGGGCTCTGACCCGAAGCTTCTTCCGGCCGACCTCACTGCTGGAGCAGGAGAAACAGCGCAACCTGGAGAAGCAGCGCCAGGAGTTGGCCAACCTGAAGAAGCAGCAGACACAGCACCAGGAGGAGAGGAGGAGGAGAGAGAAGGAGTGGGAAGTCCGAGAGAAGGAGCTGGCAGAGCAGGAGGCCCACCTGGCCCAGCGAGAAGAGCAGGTCCAGAGAGGGTGGCAGGATCTTGAGCGGGAGCGAGAGGAGCTACAGGTGAAGAAGGCCTCGTACCAGCTTGACCTGGAGAGACTTCGCACGGCGCAGAAGCAGCTGGAGAGGGAGAAGGCGCAGTTCAAGCAAGACGTGGAGCGATTAGCTCAAATGCGGCAAGAGCCTGACCACAACCAGGTAAATGATGCCAACAGCCAGGCTGCTGGGGAAGCCGTGCCCTGCAGGGAGCTCTTGGCCGGCTCCTACGCCAACTGCATGCCAGCAGTGATAGATTGATGCCAGCCCAGCCCTAGACATGTGGGGCCTGGTATTTAGAACTGGCTCTTTCCTTGCACGTGATGTGCAGGACTGCGTTTCTTGTACCTCCAGAGCTGCTGAGGCATTGCCAGTGTTGATGCAACATGGTGTATTCAGGATGCCTGGACAGTCCTGAGCAGTAGGTGGTTACAACAGCCTGAGCTCTGCCTGTTTCCCTGTGCTGTGTGTTGGCAGACAGCAGAGCAGAGGTGACCGGCTTGCAGAGAAGGTGTCCTAGGCAATCCCAGGAGGTTGATGCTGCCTTTGACATTGGCCTTCACCCCATGGGGGCTGAGCTCTGGGGAGCGGTCAGGCAGATGAGACGTCCTTCTCAGAAAAAGCCTGAGTGTTGTGGGTTACCTGCATCCTCCAGCTGTCATGAAAGCCATTTGCGAGGCTGATAACTGCAGAGGAAGGCTGTTTGTAAGCTTACATCCAGCTCCAAAAGCATTCTTGATATCTAGCAAAGAGATGGGCGTTGTCCCTGTCCTAAAGAGACTGGGCACCTGCAGTCTGGTCATGGCTCAGTGGGCAAAGGTCCCCGGCTCTGCTGCAAAAGGCTTCTGATGTGTGGCTGCCCACAACCAGAAAGCAAAGCCCACACGCAGATCCTGCTCTGTGCATTTTTCAGCAAGCTGGGGTTTATTTTTTTATAACTGTGCAGCAGTTATAAAAGGAGGAGAACAAGCATCTGTTGACAAAACGGGCTGAATTGGAACCTTAAGCCTGTTGTTGATCGTTTGTTTGTTTGTAACTCACTAATTCTGAATGTAATTTGCTTAGAGCTGTAGCAAAATTAGTTTATAAGTGTTGGATTGCGGAATGGAAATGATTTTGGGTGCCTGAATGGACTAATTGCGGAGCTCAGCAGTGAGCTCTGAAAAGCAAATCATCAGAGGAGGGCTCCCTCCCTCCCACCCCGGTTCCTGATCAGGCCAGAAGTTTTCCGAGCACACAGTGAAGCTGTTCCAGCATCGAGCACATGTAGACATGCGAAGGGTATGGGTGCTGTGGGAGAGGCTGAGAGGTAAAAAAACTGCAAGGCCTGGGGGATCGGGAGAAGGAAGCACCTTTTCGAGGCAGGTGTCTTACTGACATTTCAGACCTATTAATAGAGGGTTCAGTGAGGCTTTGTTGAGCTGTTGTTTTGATCTTCCCTTTGAATGTGCGGGCTCAATTACATCCTGAGCCAGCTGTTAGGAAAAAAAAAAAAATCAGGAAAAATGTTTTTGCTTTCATCTTTTGCTTGGGAAGGCTTCCTTTGACACGTGCCGCTCCGGTGCTGTGTGCTGGTGTTCTCCTGCCGGAGAGGCATGCTTCTCCTTGGCCTTCTGCCACCATCTGTGTGCACGAACGATGTAGGGTGAGTCTTGGTATCGAGATCTTAGAGAATATTTGCCCTTGGCTTGTTGATACATAGCATAGTACATGTAGGAGCAAAAGATACTGGAGTGTTACTCTTCACGTGCCTCGTTTCTTCATCTTAAACGGCAAGGCCGCCTTCTCTCATTGCTTTGCCTGGATGGGGAGCACTTTTTAGCTGGTGAATGGGCTGGATGTTCACAAGAATAACCCCTGTCTCTGTCAGTGGTCTGGAACACGCTTTTCCAATCCAGGTTCTCTACTAGCCTCTTTCATGCCCTAATGAAACAATTTTCTTTTCCTTTAATAGGTTTCAAATCTACATGAGAAACTTGCAAGAGTCCCCTCCCAGTCCAGCATCGATGACTCCTCCAAGCAGAAGAGCCCTTCCCTTCCTAAACAAGGGCACTTTGATGCAGAACTGTCTGTCTCCCCCAAAAGGAACAGTCTTTCAAGGACACACAAAGAGAAAAGCACTTTCCATTTGCTTAGCACAACAAACCAGACTAACAAGGCGGCTGAGGAACAGCCCCAGATGCCTACCCGACTCTTCAGTTTAGCCAAACCAAAGGAGAAGAAGGAAAAGAAGAAAAAGGGCAGGGGACATCGCTCCCAACAGTCTGGTGAGTGTCAGGGGAGGTCATAGGTGTTTTTTCCAGTTCGGTGAGCTGGCTTTTCCCTCCAGCCAGCAAACTTGTGGAAGCCACGAAATCTAGCCTTGAATGTGGATGATAACATTTGAGGGATGGAGAAGATCAGCTGTGATGAGTGGAGTTCCCAGCTTGAAGTGATTTTCTCTGTGGGCTTTTCTGCCTGTTCTGCAGCCCCTGAGGTTGTCAGAGGGACACACTCTGCTCCCTGCGCCTTCCCTTCCCCATCCTATCCTGAGCAGACTCCACGGGCTGGATTCTCCCTGTATTTTTCAGCTTGCTCTGATTCGAGAAAGAAAATGTCCTGCTTCAGTGTATGTGCTTTCAGGAGCTGCTGCTGGGATGCTTCTGCCTGTTGCAGCCCCTGTGGCATTGCTCTCTGCTTTACCTCTGCTGTAGTTTGGAAGTGATACCCGCAACCCTTCTGGTGGCCTCTCCCTTCCCTTGAGCTGGTCTATCTTGTCTCTTGATCTGAAAAAAAGCCATGCAGTTTTTTTCTCTGGTAGTTTTGCATCCCCTTAGGACTCGGTTCTGCACCTCGAACCTCTGACCCACATGAAATTTGATCTCATGCCTTCAGATGACCGGCTTATCCATATTAACTCACTGATGTTTTCCAACTTGTGCACAGGAAAGCTCAGCAATTATGAGATGTAATTTCATGGTACCTCATCAGGGAACTGGACAGCTTTTAAGATGCCCGGTGGATTGGGCAGACAGCGGGGTTTCCATGTGCGTGGAGTCCCGCTCTGCCTGCTGTATTCCTGTATTCCCATAGTGATTCCCACCTGTTTTCTTGTGCTGCAGATTCTCACTCATCAGAAGCACCTCCAGAGGGTGAGGAGATCTTCTGCTGAGCACAGACGGTTCCATCGGTCACTCTTGGCATTGGTACAGCGGACATCTCCCTGCCCGCTCCACAGCACGCTGTTGGTGCCTGCATCTGACAAGCATCTGGAGGTTTTAAATAAAACATGTCATGAAGTCTGTTAAGTGGTGGGAAAGGGCCTCTCTCCTGTGGTTTTGCGTGAATTCACACCACAGAGGCTGACTGCACGGCAAATAGTACCATCCCTCTGTGCAACCCTTGGGTTAAATGGATCGGGATAGATGTTTTCGGTCTCTCCTTACTGCTAAAGGATGAGAGAACATAGCCTTAAGGGGTCTGTGCCTTCAAATTCCCCTTTTCTGGGGAACGTAACCAAAACCAAGCATTTAGCAAAAGATTAGGACTCAACAAATGGTGCGTACACACTGGCATATATAGATATACTGTATATATACATATATGTATCTATGTATCCACTGGGATATGCTTACAGTCTGTACAGCCAAGCTTAGCTCGGCCCATGGGGATAGATGATACCTGATGACTTTCAGGGAGCGTGTAGATATTAAATATCTTGCCCTTACTGCTCCGATTGTAACACCGTTGACTTGCACGCCCCTTTTGTGCTCATGGTATATGGACTGTTTGGTTTCAGAAAGGTACCTTACACCAGGAAGCAGTAACAGCATTCAAAACAAAGATTCAGAGGAAAAAAATAAAATTTAAAGCAATTCCGAAAGATTTCCATGGGGCAGAGGATTTAAATGTCAAACTGTTTCCAGAATCAAGCAGAACATCTTTGGGTATATTTAAAATGATGCAGAAAAGAGAAATTCGGTAGACTTGTAAGGCAACCCCAGGGAGCCAGAACAAACAGCGTTCAAGTGGGAACAACTCTAAGCAACATTTTGTTACACAATCTCTGAGCTCCAGCTCACTCCTTCCCATCCCCTAAGTAAAGATTTTTTTTTTTTGCCAGAATATAGTTCTCCAGTTGCATTTGACATCCCTTCATTACAAGCCTGATGATTTACTGGAGAGATGGCTGAAAATCTGCTTTTAGGGACCTTTGTTCTGTTATTTGTATTTTTCTTCCCCTACTTTTTGTGTTAATGTTGGGCTTCTGTTTCTCTGGATTTTGTCAGCTTCCCTTGCTCCTTTCTAAGGCAGAATGAGACAACAGCAATTTCAGAGCACTTCAGCGAGATGCCGCAGGTCAGGGGACTGAGCGCTGTGAGCAGAGCGAACTCCAAAGAGGCGGCTCCTAGTTCCTATGCCTATACAGTACCGTGCACTTATTAACCGTTTCTGGGGAGATGATAACGCTCTCGTGGACAGAAACGCTGTGGGACAGGTCCAAAGGTCCAGCGTGGCAGGTCCGTTTCCATCGCCGTGGGCTCTAGGGTGAAAGTGTCCGTGTGACCCCGTGTTGCCATCGGCAGAAGGGGAAGGTCTGAGGGTGGCTCTCGCTATGCCGACTGTGAGGTGTTTGTAGACCTGTTGAATACAGGGATGTGTTCAGCGGGGGAAAAGAAATGCAGCAAGCCAAACTTTTTTCCAAAATTATTGTTCTTCCAAACCCTCCCAGGGGAATTGCCCGAGCGGATTTGTAAATGGTTACGAGACACTATCAGCTTCAAAATAGCTCAAGGGTTTGCTCAGAGTTTGAAGCTGTCAGGTGCATTTCCTTTCCTACCAGTTTTTCTTAAAAAAAAAAACAAAAACAAAAACAAAATATTTTTCTTCTTGCACTATTGTTTGATTTCAGTTTGCTCTCTGGCTTCTCACAAGCTAGTAGCCCGCAGCAGTTTTCAGAGTTCGGTGCTGATGAGTATCAGCAGCATTGATGGTGAGGTGGATGCTTAGACTGGGCTGTCTTGGTCAGTGCAGGAATCCTAAACCGCCTGCTTGCTTTTGAAGCTCTCTAATTTATTAAGACTCAAAAAAAAAAAAAAAAAAAAAAAGAAAGGAAAAAGGTTTGAGATTTATTTTTATTTTTCCTTTTTTAATATTATTTGGTGCTTGTTCTTAATTGCAAGCAGGGCTTGCAAAAAATATTTATCTTTCTGTTTATTTGAAAGAGTTCTTTTTTTAAAAGAAGTTTACTTGGTTTTATTTTTTTATTTCTTTTTACTTTTGCTTTTGTTTGGGGGTTTGAGAGGTGGTTTGGGTTTTTTCTTTCCTTTTTTTTTCTTTTTTTTTTTCTTTTTTTTTTTTCCTCCTTACCAAGAGATTGGTAAACCAAATGTTCTTATCTCCCTGGTTCCTACAAAACTCAGGGTTTGGGCAGTGCTGCTTAGCAGCCCATGCCATGCCCAGAGTTACACAATTTCAACTGAGAGCTTTCTTTAAGGCAGAGCATCTTTGGGCCAAAAAAAATCTGGAAAAAGAAGCAGTGGCTTCAGACAAGCCTCCTCCTATCAGTTAGTTTCCTTGTTTAAATATTTTGTTTAGATTTTCTCATACCTCTAGGAGGCAAAGGAAAAAGCAAAACATGGAGCATCTTGCAGTGATGTGAGGGTCCGGTCGCTTCTCCAGGGAGATACAGGCATCTCTCCTGAACCTGAAAGGAGCTGAAGGAGGCATGTGCTGGTGTTGTGGTGTTACCTTTTTCATAAGAAAACCACCAATTTTAGAAAACAACTTCTGCCCTGCTGTTAATACATCTGCAAAAATGAATGTGCCAAGCTGAAATTTTTGGAAACCAAAGCAGTGCATGGCTCATTTACTGTTGTGTAAACAGAGATCAGGTCCCTGGTATTTCTGAAAGTTCCCCTCGGTCTGTAATAGCTTTTGCCAGTATGAGCTTTTCTTTTCATCCCTCTGTCTTTTTCCCAGTCCCAACACATCTGGAATTCGCGACACGGGAGTGTCCCATGGCTCCGAGAAGGGCATCAAAAGGGAGACGCGTGACCCAGGGCAGCAGGGCTGAGTCCCTGCCTGGCTTGACCATGTCTTCTGACCTGTGCAAATCAAAAAGAACATTCAGTGCCCTAAGTGAAAATAGTATTTGCTAAGCCATCTCCAAAGGTTCCCACGGTTCCTTGTCAAAGAAACCACGGGCGTGAATCAGAAATACGCAGTATTGCTAGTCAGTGTATCAAGGCTGTTTGTGTCTTAAATTCTGGTGGACAGACCTTTGTCCCTGGAGGATGTATGTTACTGCATGATTCACTTTTTTGGAATGAAGCCTTTACTCCCGCACTGCTTCCTCCTTCTTTCACCTTTAGGAAAGTGAGGGCTTGTTTTTATCTCTTTAGCCTTTTATTTTTCCCCCTCTCGGGTTTTCTTTGGAAAGGCTTGGCATAGGTTCCCAGAGTCGGATTCCCGTTCTGATCCCTGCAGGTTGCCTAGGGTTGTCTGCTAGAGTACGGTCCCAGCTTTAAAGTCTTTCCTCTTCCTGGCCTTAAAATTGCATTTGCTCCAGTTCCACACCTGGCATCCATCCTGCAGTTGTTGAAAGCGTGTTACTTCTTCAGCCCAGCCTGATGCTGTGTCTGGTTCCCAGAGCCGGTCCCTTGATCCCATTTGGAGCACCCAAACCACCCCGTTTTGCATTGGGTTCCTGGGACACACAGCAGGTTCAAAAATGTCTGTGCAAAGCCCGTATTGTTGGAGGGAGAAGAGGACCCTGCAAGGGCTCTCAGAGCTTTTTTTGCTAGTGTTTCATGGAGGGGAAAAGTCAGACTTTCTTTTCTTGGGCTTTTCTTAGCCTGGTCTTTATCACCGCCCAAGAGAAGGGGTTTCAATGACCGGGGAATTGGGAGCGCAGGCTCAGATGAAGTACAGAAGTGGTCAGTGTTAGCTGGGCGTGCCAGAATACCCCGGCGATAAGAGAGTAGCTGTAGCAAATGATGTGAGACTCGATGGAGTTGTGTGGGGTTGGCCTTAGCTTCTTTTAAGTGAAGTGATCATCTCAACATGTAACTTGGTGTCAGTTTGATGCCATAAAGCACTTTAAATGGAACTGGTCTTGTCCCTTTTCATTTTGGTTACGTGGAGACAATCAGCTTTGCCATTGTTCCCCCCACTGCATCCCCAGCAAAATCTGAGCTGCAAGTAGGCATATTCCTGGTTTGGTTTGGCTTTACCCCGGGAGGGGAGGAAGGGCCAGCTTTTTGTATTATTTTTAGACTAAAGTGGGTGTGAATCTGACTACAGTCCCACTGCAGACAGGGTGAGTGGCAGGACCAGAGGAACTGGCTTCTGATGGCTCAGGTATATCCCCCGGCAGAGCCCATGCCGGCGTCACCATCACCTTCCTCACAGCGGGTGCTGCTGCCGGTAGGGAAGCTGTCCCGCCAGCGGTTTGCCCTCCACCTCCTTTTCCTTGGGGAAACCCAGAGCAAAGGAGGTGTTGGGGGGATACAACCAAATAAGCGAAGTGAGGCCCTTTCCGTGCACTAAGTTATTTACTGTCCAGGCCACTGGGAGACCTCCCAGGTGCCATCCCTGGGGCAGGAGCTCTCACCACCGCTGAGGGTGGGCTCTTTTCACTCTTGAAGTTTGACCACTGCTGAGAAGCGCAGTAATGCCATTAGCTTGTGCGGATTTGTACTGCCTTTCAAAGGCACGAGCATCCATAGGGTCCGATCATCTTTGCACCTTCCTTGAGGCACTAGGATATCTCAAAGCTGTTGCTGAAACACCCAAATCTAGTCCTTCCAAATGCCACGGAGTCAGAAGAGCTTCATCAAGTGCCAAATCCCAAGGAAGCTGTCTAGTATATCTGTGGCACGGGGCAAGGGAGGACTGGGCAGGGGGCACAGGAGAGTATCTGCTAAAATCCCACAAAACATTCCTTGTTAACCAGAACTCTGGAAATTATTCTGCCTGCTGGCCAGGTTTGGGAATTGAACATAATTTAAGGCACCCTTTTAAATAAAAAAACCTCCCCTGCTGCTCATAGCTCTTGCTTCTTTTGTCAGAAAGGGCAGTGATCAATGATTCTGATCCGGTGATGCAGCTAAGTTTTAAAGATAGGCGAGCTGAACTGGCTTAATCTCGTAGACCTCGTGCTCTTGAGTGATGGGAAGCGTAACGCTGGCTCCCTTCCCACCTGCGTTTTCAGGGCTCCGTGCCCTTTCTTTCCACACGCATTTCACTGACACTGACGCTTTGCCCAAATATATTCAGCTTCCGTTGCTTGGGGGGAGGGGGGAACAGGATAACATTCACTGCTTTGCATACAGCTGTGAGCTTCGTATGTATTTAAGCTGTCTGTAGGTATCCATCCTTTCCATGCTCTAAAGTATTTTACTATTTTCTTTATTGATATTAAACACTGACTCAAAAAAAAAAAAAACACCTCTCTCCAGTTCAGTTCGCCTATGGTTAAAGTTTAGCCTGGTGTTTCTTTTGTACTAATATGGAATGCACTTAAGTAATTCCCAGAGCGTTGAGGAGGTGTATTATAATAACCTGATATACCTCTGCTTTTGGTTTGTTTCTTAAAAAAAAAAAAAAAAAAAAAATGTTTTGCATTTTCATGTTGAACCTGTTAAAAAAAAAAGTTTAAAAAAAAAAGTTGAAAAAAAGAGTTTTTAAAAAAGAGGGTAAAACCTAATTGCTGTATGTTAATTTGTAATTATGTAAAAAGTGAGCAGGTTATTGACTGTAAAATTCTTCAGTTTTTCTGTAACTTGCCAGAAACCATTAGGTTTTGTAACAAGCTTTTATTTATCTTCCTTTTTAGTTATCAGCATCAACCTCTTGTAAAGTCATTTTTCCTCTAAATAAATTTGATTTTAAGTCTGAGTTTTCTGCCCGATTCATTTCCACACCTTTGGTGTTTCTGCTGTTGACTTTGTTGCACCGAGGCTGAATGAACAGACGTAACCCTACCTGTAATCAACTGTTTGCATTGCTTTTATCACCTGGATGCAGTCTGCACCCATTGGACTCTTTAACTGACTTTCCTTCTCGTGGAAGATTTGCATTTTGCTGAAGGGCATATGGCCATAACGATGTTCAGCTCCTTGGGGTTTTTTTTCCCCCCGCACACACAGGGCTTTTCATGTTTTTACAAGAAGAGGAAGTGTCGCAGCCGTTATCTCAGCCACTTCAGCTCCATAAGCTGAGATAAATGGCAGTCTGGTGGCTGCATGTGCCGTCTTACGGCACAGAGTTTCTGTAACCCACTGAACTAGCTCTGCGTCTCCGGCAAACCCTAGCCACAGGGGGTTTGATCTCATTTGGCTGAGAGAACTAGAGATGCCATGTCTCATCACGGGGGCGGGGATGGGAGAGGAGGCGGGATGTTTGCACCCAGGCTGCGGTGTGCTTTACCTGTTTCCACGTCCCCCGCAAGAGGAGGCCCAGCAGAAACGCTGTAGCCGGCGTCCGGGTCATTCCTCTCGCCTGGGGAGGTGAAGGTACGTCGTGTTCCCACTGCCTGCAGGCATCGGTCCAGGCAGAAGAGGGTGCCAAAAGTACAGACACGAAGCGGAGTTTGCTCCGCAGCGCGATGAGGAGCTGGCACAGAGGACGACGACGGCCGGAGTTTCTCCACCATCATTTTCCTTTACCTGGAAAAGCAATCACGGCTGCCCCTGTACCGCTAGTCCTGCATGGGACTCGAGCATCCTCTCCCCAGGCGGGAGGAGCAGGGAGACCTGCACCCTTCATCCTCTGCGTATGGATGTTGAGGCAGAGGAATTGCTTCATTTCCACCTATTATTTCACTTGTCTTCAGAGGTGAGATAGGGAAGGAGAGAGGATGCTTGAGGAGAATCAGATGTATTGATCAAAGCCTTCAGGTCATCGACATGAACATTGCTTGGCGGTGTTGGGTTGTTTCTTAACAGGCGTTAGGAAATGCCAATCCACCTTCCTGTGCCCCGTTAGCCAGCAGTGCGCTGCGTGTATTTTTCCCCATCTTCACGTCTGTGTTGCACGTGCTGTTCTACAAACCTGAATCGTGTCAATGAACCC